TGATGTCAGTATGATAGAAAAGGTGTATATATTTTTCTTTATAAACAACCTCAGTGTGTTTTATTCCGTTTAGGTTTATAGTATGATACCTTATTATAACTTCTACTGAAATGAAGCATAGTACAACATATTTGTGAATCATGTATAACCATGGTATTAAGCACATTTATTTACTTTGCTAAAACAAATTATTTTTTTCATTAATTCCTTTTTGTATTTACTTTTGTCCAAATCAAATCTTGTTCTTGTCATCTATCTGGGCAGAGAGTTTGGACTTGATCACATGCTTTAAGTGAAGGCATTTATAACTGGGAGTAATTCTGGCTTTCAGTACATGCTTAGATCAGAAATATTTTCAGTGGAGTTCCAGCAATTTCAGCAGCAAGCCCAGGGCAGGCACTGGGGAACAAAATCTGTGGAGCTTGTTATACTGTGAAGAGCAGAAGCAGAAGGGAGTGGATTTGCACAAATACTTAAAATAGTTTTTCTTCTAGAGAAATAAAAATGACACTTCTTGGAAAACAGATTTCTCTTGGGGCTGTGTCAGCTTCCAGTATGTATAAATGTAGAGTTGTGGCTTCCAGAGAGCATAGTTACCCTAATGAATAAAATGTTTCATTCAGTATTTCTCCCAAAGCTAGAGCTAGCCTGTGCTGTCACATAAGTACATATATAGTACTGTTTAATTTAAAATGACCTTTCTTTTGTTAATTGGACTTTGCAATTAGTTCTGCATTAACTTGTATATAAGAAGTCTTAAGACAGTGAGCTGTCTATGCAATGAGCTCAGAAATAGTGAAAAATTCCAGCTAAGTAGGGTTAATACCTCCATTTCTGTGGTTTGCATTGTTCATAACTTGGCTATTTGTTACATGCTCCATGTCAAATCTCAAAAAGGGCCAAGTTCATTTTGTGGTTTTAAGCATCTTTGCAAGTCTTCACTTAAAAATGAGTCCATTATATAGCGACTGGTCAAGTCTTCCGTGCTTTGTGTGGCTGAGCATTAAATTCCTGATGATGGGCCATGATTCAGAACAGAAAAAAAAAACTTGAAAGAGCATTTATACCTGCTGTGTGCTGTGGGAGACCCTGGTAGGTTACCTGAGGAGAGCTACGCAGTGTTTTGTATTTGAAATCAACACGTCTCATTCAAAGCAGGAGTTTGGGGACCTGTCTAAAAATATGCCAAAAAGTGATGTAATTGGCCACAGGCCAGCATTGTGGCGTGGGAGCCAGTTTCCATTCTGCTTTCAGATTGGTATAACAAATGCTTAAAAAAAAAAAAAAAAAATAATAATGTTGCGGTTCTGATTCTAGCAATTCCTGCCATAAGCTTTCTGTTTAAAAGACGAATGGAAAGTTATTACCTCACCGGCTCTCCCGGTAGCTCTTAGTGCTACTGGGGTGCTTTCTCCTAAGCGTATGGCCATCACCTCTCCTGTAACATACACAGCCACTTCTCCTTTGCACCAATTTTCTTTTTGTGCACCAGTTTTCTTTCTCAGTATTAATTCCTGAGTTCCCAAGAGCATTTGCATAGCATCCTACTTGAAGGACCTGGTCCAAAGCTTTCAGAAATCAGGAGGAATTTTTCCCTCTGCTGTAACAGCTGAAGGGATGGGCCTTTGAACGCTCAGCGTTATTTGTGTGTAGTGATTTTCGGCGGGAGCAAGGCACTGAGCACTCCAGTGGCAGCTGCTTATGACTCACCATCCCACACCCCTGCTCTCAGATGTCCCTGTTCTGTTTTTCCAAAGAAAGTAATCATCTTTACCAGTAGATGTCCCTTGCCTTTTTCTTGCACCACAGATACATGAGCAGGAAAACTAATGGCTGACCATTTCTTCAGGTTTTACAGAGTTTGCAGTTTCACTGCTAACAGTTATTAAATAAAGGTCCTGGAGTGATATGTGCAAAATTATGGGAATTTTCTGTTACCTGTTTCCTCAGGTAAATCCTTTTTGGCCAAAAATTGTAGATAATACAGAAAATATGACAGGCAATCTGCAATGCTTTTAAAGCTGCATTTAAAACACCAAAATAGAGATATAGCGTGTGGTTGTATGTTTGTGTACCCCAAACAGGAGTGAGTTAGATTCAGCTAATAACTTTTTATGTCAGTGTTAGTAACAGCAGTGTAAATACAGATAGTAATTACAAGTGGTTTAACAAAGCACTTTTACAGTAGTCAGACCTGGAGCCCACACATGTGGGGATCTTCCTCCACAAGAGAAAACCAATTCCAAAAACACTCTAGAAAAAACCCACAAAACAAACCTGTCATAATTTCATACATTTGATGAGTAGGATAGATAAAAGTATTATAGGTTGAATGCCAGAATATCAGATTTTTGGTGGGGGTTGTACTTAACATTGCATAACCGAGGCATTAATGTATTTCTTTTAGACACCCTGGTGATTTTCAGGCCAGACTTATTAAAAATGTAACCCCGTTGTACAGTGGCCTTCCCCTCTTCTTGTTAGTGATTACTGTGTTGGGATTTATTCACTTCTCTTCTGATACTTGGCATGGAGTAGTATAGAGCAGTTTGAACATCTGGCCTGGGCACGGTCGTCTTCTGTGCGTTTTTCTGTATATGCAAAATATTCCTTTCATTAACTCACAAAAAAATGAACCAGAAAGTCAGCCAAGTCTGGCTGTCAGTCCTCGTAGCCACAGCTGCCAAGGAGGGCTGAGTAGCAGCAGCAGTAACAAGGTCCATCGACCAGCTGGGATCAAGGTAACAAAACAAGGTAATGACTGAAATCTGGGGTCTGCCCAGGAGGACCAGGGCAGGGCTCAGGCCTCCCCTCAAGGCAGCTCAGGCAGGGCTGGGGGCCAGAGCTGAACCTCAGAGGGACCCCCAGGTGGGAGCAGGGGCCGTCCAGGGACTGGTCAGGGCTGCCAAAGCCTGTTGGTGCACTCAGACCCTGACAAGTACGTGTGGATGGCCCTGCACGTAACACGTGGCTGGGAGACCTCTCCATCTTAAGATGCACTGTGGGGTTAAACAGTCACCCAATACTTCTGTCTAGAGAGTGAACATCATTATTGGCTTTCTAAAGTAGCTGCTGAAAAATACCTTTTCTCTCCTACAAAAAACACTCTGTCAAACTGCTACAGAACTGTAATGTTTTGCAAAGCAAGACAGATCTCTCTAGACATTATTTTTCCTGTGCATATCTATGGTTTTAAGGCACCAATTTACTTATGTTCTTTACCAGCCCTCTTCTGAAACTGTTAGCAGCCGTGTTATTACACTGATTCTATTCTGTTTCTTTCCTGCCTCTTAATTCTTTCACACTATATCACTAATCTCAAATTCTTCTTCCATCTCTGCTAATTGCACTTTAGCCAGGTAGAATTACTGGTTGGAATTTCTCATCCAAATACTTAGAATTCCAAGAGCTCAGAGAAGGGATTACACAGTGCTATGTCCCAACTGATAAATGCAGTCCCTCATAGCAGCCTGGACTCCAAAAGTTCGACCAGTCATATTCACTTCACTGTGAACCTTGTCCACAGGTAACTTTTGCTCATGTCCCATCAGAGCCTCTGATTGGGGTTTTTGTCCTGCTGTTGTCTTGTCACTGAATAAGGGAAAAAAACTGTGGGCAGTTACATCCACTGGAAAAGAATAAATTCATACTGGCCTGCAAAAAAGCTATTTTTTTTCCTTGATAATAGATGATTACATTGTTTATTCTTTTGCATTTGACAAAACTGAATATAACAGAATGCATGGGAGAAGTGATTGGGCAATCAGTTTTCTTAGCATCAGAAAAGAGTCAAGAAACACTGGGTGCCTTAGAGATGTATGTGGATTAGTTAGAAATTTTTTGTAAGTCCTCACAGTGTTAAAAGTGAATAGTGCAGGGGTAGGTTTCCTTAAACCTGCATTTAATATTTTAGACTAAGGTCTTTCTGCATCAGAGACTGATAGGACGGGCAGTAAATAAAATTAATGCAGGCAAGTTGGAAATGTGGCCTGAAAAACATACCAGATGTAATGCACTTGGTACAGATGCAAGCCGTGACATTTTTCAGGAACAATCAGCTGCATAAATACAGGATGGAGACAAGCTGGTCTGATCGCAGTTATTCTGAAAAGTTTCTGGAAGCTTACAGTAGATTGCAAGGTGAACTTGAGTTCATGGTGTTGTGTAAAAGATAGGCACGGTACACAGATACCTGCAGAAGATTACAGCTTGGAAAGCACACACAAGCTCTCTGCTGTCTTCACTACATTCACCCTGGCAGCCTTATTGCTTATTGCCACTTATTGCATTAGGAATAGTACTAGGAACCCTATTTCAAAATAAGTGGAAATGTAAAAAACCCTGAGTAGAGCAATAAGAATAATCAGAGTCAAGAAGACACAGCCTTTGTGGACTGATTGATCAGATCAGGGTAGTTGTAGCCTAGAGAAAGTAGAAACCCCAGTATGCAAAAAGCCTGCAAACATGCTACAAGGCTGAAGAAAACGTAAAAGGAGTAAAATCCTTTCTGTGATGAAGCAGGCAGTCTGTCATGAGGTGAAGTGTTATGCATTTTCAGGCTGGATATTTGGAAAATCTTGGTAATGGTAAAGGTAACAAAGCACTGGAATAAATTGCCCAGGGAGGCTGCAAAGTCTCTGTTATTGGAAGTCTTGTAAGAAGGAATCATACAGACATCTGTCAGACACGACAGTGTTGGCCTTGCTTTGGATTACAAGGATGGCTTAGACCTCTGGAATTTGCTGCCAGCCTTGTGACTTAGTGACTGCGATAAGCAGTGATAGGTCACTTTCCTTAGCTGGACCTGTTAATGCTTCTCTTTCTTGCCCGAGACCATGGAGCTCTACTATTTAATTTCCAGTATCAGTTCCCTTTTGTTCCTTTTTTTCCCTCTCAAGTGTACTCTCAATCAGAGTTAATACCTCTTCTAACGTTTATGAATCCTGTTTATGTGCTAATTAATCCACTGAGAAAAACATTAATCTTTTTTTTTTTTATAGATTTATTTGAAAAGCAGTGACCTTGGAAGCTCTGTGGATGAAATAGAGCAACTGATAAGGAAACATGAGGCTTTTGAGAAGCTTCTGTCATCACAGGATGAGAAGGTACAAAAATCCACGAGCCAGAATGATTATATTATTTATTTATATATTTATTTTTAACATGACAACACATTAAATTGCTGACAGGTATGTTATGCCTCATATGCTTGAGCCAAAGAGAAAATGGGGGAACAGTGAAATAAGAGACAGAGCAGTGTTAGCACAGGCAGAACAAGTGTTAGACACTCCATGCCCAAGTCCTGCCTGTATTTTTTGCAGTAGACAGGAAAACCACTTGGTAAGTTAAATAGTGGGACTTACCACAAGAAATAGTGATAGCAGGCTATATTGTGTGTTATGGCTATCAGAAATTTCTGGTTTTTTAATAAAAAATCAGTGGCTTTTAAAGCAAGTAAAATACGGTAAGCTGGAGGGGATGACTTGTCTAATTATTTAAATATACATTTGGTATACATGTGTACTAAATTGGCTAGCCTTTTCTCACCTTTGGAATAGATGCTGAATTGCTCACCTGCATGTAAAGGAATCTGCCTGGCTGGTGGCCTCAGCTGTAATTCACCCAGGCTGGGGCTAACCTCAAACCTGGGGCTGTGCCTGGTTTCCCAAGAAGGAATGAGCTCCCAGAACCCTTGCCAGCTCCCTGCCAGACTGACTGCTCATGCTGAGAGCTACCTTCCAATACCTGATTTCCACAAAGCAATAAAACCTGAGTACTGTTGGGTGTCAGGCTTCCTCCATGATTCCTTGCATTGGATGATCAGTGGCGTAGGGATTCCTGGAGTTACAGCTTTAATTCATTTACACTACAAGACTACAGAGACCAATGACAAGGATGTCATAGATGTAACATAGTACAGGGTGTGGATGGGGGGAATGCTGGGTAACTTGCCCCTGCTATTTTTGGTTCATTCCGGAAAAAAAAAAAAAAAGAGAATCTTTTACATATGGAAAAGAGCATGGGTTTTGTTTCTTTCACACCATTTTGAAGCATAAAAGTAATTTGTTGCCTCCTCAGATGATGTCTCTTCAAGAACAGGCAAGCAGGCTAGAAAAGGTTGGTGGATTGGATGTACTAAAGATCCAGCACAAACTGAATGCCATTCGTGAGAGGAAGCAGCAGATCAAGGATCTGTCCCAGAGTAGAAGAGAGAAGCTGCAGACCGCCCTTCTTCTGGCACTTTTCTACCAGAACTTGGAAGAGGTAAGACAGTTTTAGACTGGGATGGGGGTGGTAGGCAGAGGAGCTGCCTGTCTCTGTTGGATGAAGTGCTTGTCCTTGCCGGAGATTAGGTGGTTGGATATTCTACTCTGGTGTGGCAACTCCTGTTGTGCCCCACACTCACGCAAAGGGATGGGTGCTCCAATGCCATTGCTGTTACTATACCATCCTGCTGGCCTTGTGTTCATTACAGCTGCTTTACACATCAGGAGCTCTGCTAAAACAAAACTCATAAAAGGAAAACTGCCAGCTACTACCTTATGTTTCCTTTGATGGGAAAGAAAAGATATTTCAAACCAGGGCGAATACAAAGTGGAAAGCATTATGGCAAGGGTGACAGGGTTTACTAGTGCCCACTGAAGGCCTTCAAAACAGTGCTGTAACTTAGCATAGCTCTTCTGCTGCTGTGGACTGGTCTCTGCAGAGTTATGTTCATCTCTGTCTCCTGTTCTGGCCTTTAGTCCTGAAACAGAGTAGCTCTGCTCCTGGCACGCCTGCTGGAAAGACACACTAGGTCAGTCTTTCAAAGGGCAGCACAATGTGTGTGACTGAAAAATGTGCCAGCATCCGGTGTGTTGGCGTAAACAACAGCGCGCAGGCCCAGAGGGACACTTGCAAACACTGTTGCTGGTCTCACACGCACTCCTGCTGCTGCTGCATCCAATGGAATATCCTCCATGATTTAAAGAGAAACTGCAGGTGCTTGTCACTTCCCAGCCCATGAAAAATACACGTGTCCTCACGTAGGTCAAGTTATGATTGTCACCGAAGGCAAATGAATGCCTGCAACACAGCTGCTGCTGACAACCAAATTTATGTGGGTTTTGTTTAGTTGGTTTTTTTAAAAGAGTAGTTTAAGGAATAAATGGCTGCTAAAATTCCATTTACAGCACAATATTTTTGGAACTCCTCCCCCCCAGAATAACCAAACATTTAAATACCTTCTTCTTTAGCTACAGTAAAGAGCCAGAGCTGCATGCTATTTGCTGATTTTTTAAAATGATCTTAATCTGTAATTACTTACACAGCCAAATATTAACTCATATTATTTGGCTATACTTTCTCTGTCACATGAACCAGTCCACTAGTAATGGCCAGTCCACCTCATGGACCAGCAGAGGGGAGTGACTGGAGTGGACACTGCATTGCACAGTGCTAACATTTTTGAAAGAGCAATGTACCTCATTGTTCACAGAACTGAGAGTATCCTTTTTGGTAGAGAAACTGTCAATGTCCTCCTAGAGATGCAATCAACCCATTGGGTAGGAATACTTCTGCATTCCTTCCCATCTCTCTGTAATTGTCAAATCAGTGCTGGGGCTGGGGTCCCCCTTCATTCTTGAATCACACACTTATAGCAGAGGATCTGGCCCTGTATACCAGGGAACATTTCCCTTTTCTCATCCACTTTCTCCACATAAATTTAGCCAGGAGTTCTATAGGGAGTTTTTGCTCTCAAACTACCTGCTCATTTACCTCACCAATCTAAATTAATTGCCTGCCGCTGCAGAATGTGAATGCCGCAAAGGAATTAAAAAAAAATAATCTTACATTAATATCTCTCTTCCTCTTTGTGGGGTAGAATGGAATGTTTAATTTGATTTTAATGATGTTCTGGGTGTGTATGAGTTCATATATGAGAATACTCCCTAAAGGGATGTTAATTTGCAAAGATGAGTTTGGAGTCTAGCTGTGAAATCAATGAGGTCATTGCTCAGTTATTAGGACAAGTCCCATAGCTTGCGTCCCACTCCCCTAAAAACTCTCCCTCATGCAATCATCTTACATCATTTCTATTGACCAAACAGAATTTTATCGGTCAGCAGAAAATAGTGATCTCTGTCATTGTTAAAAGTCTCCTAGTTACTCTCTAGAAGTAATTACAGAGAAGCAATTACACACATCAGTACAAAGACAATACAGTCTGTGATTACTGATGGGAGGATGGAGAGCTCAACATCGTATGGTCTGCTCGGAAGGCTACCTGCTGCAGTTTGTACCCCTTTCAGAACACAGGACTTTGTTTTTTCTGCACAAAACCGTCAATGACTAACTCAGGAGATCACATGCAGCTCACAAATAGGACACACTCTCCTGCAGTAGAAGTAGGATGCTTTTGTAGTCCCAAAGAAGTGAGAGAGACTTATAAACTATCCTATTGTTCCAAAGCCTGTACCTCAATATTGACATGGAACGCAAATGAGCAGGTTGCTACTTAGAAATCTGTGTATTTATTTAAGTTATTGCAGAGGAAAAATCATAAAGTTGAAAGTTTTGACTTCTAAAGCTGGCTATGAGTTTTAATGCTGACTCTGAAACTTGCTTATCATATTAGTGTCACTTAACATCCTTTCACGCTCTGTTCAAGAGAATAAAAATCACTTACTACTTTATCTCAGAGGAGTAAGTGAATGAGTTATTCTCTTAATGTCTGGAACAGATAGATGCCTTTATATGCTTTAAATATGCTTTAATAACAGAATTGTTATTAAAAATCAGGGTAATTTGCAAATAGTTTATGCTTTTGAGGTTTCAGTAACCGATATTTTGAAAAAGTATCGAAATTGATAGTGCCCCCATTTTTTATGAGTCCCGTAGAAAAAAGACTAGTCCCATTTGCCTACACTGACCATAACAGTGGTCTCACTGTTGTCTTCAGTAAAGTGAAAATGCACGTCCAGGCATCAGTAAGTCTTTCCATAGAAAGATCTTGGGACAACATATCAGCCTTGCTTCACATCTGAATGTGGGCACGGGGCCAGAAGATGGAGGTCTCACTCTCTAGAGCCATTGTAAGTAAGCTTTAAAATAAAAACAAGCCACTAAGAGTGTGGATGTGATTATATTTTTTAATGGCTTTGTTCAGTCTTTTATTAAACCATTGCTTATTATTAAAAAAATAGGAGACAAATCTGCCTTTAAGGGGCTGTATGCAGGATTTTCTCATCCTAACTGTATGGATGAGCCTCTCCCATACAAATAAGAAGTCAGTTAAGTGATGTTAAATCGTTAATGTGTGGCTGGGTAATGGGAGAAGGCCGTAGCTTCTGGGGAGGGTATCAGAAATGAAAACAGCAGATCACAGTGTGCTGTCCTGGGCAACCTTGACTTAAGGCTTGTTTGAGTCTCTAACTGTGCTTTGGAGAGGAACAGTTTCTGGAGAGCGTGCTGCTAGTGAAAGCTATTTCTGTTATTGTTTATAGAATTTCAGCAGCTGAAGCAACACTTCAAATCATTAATTAACTGAGAAAATCCTCCAGTTGTCAAGTCTTGTGTGCATGTAGCACAGTTCCACAAGGACAGCCAAGATGCTTTGAAACTGATAAAGCTGGCTTCAATTTCTGTTCTTGTGTTGTCAAAACATTAGGTTACTTCAGTGGTCTGAGGACAACAGGATCAGTTACAACTTATGTCAGGTGTTCAGTTTTCAGTGTTTTGATGGATAGAAAATATTTCCTTCAGTGTTAAGGGCTAAAGTTTAGCAGACTTTCAAAAAAATTGTTGAAAACTCGCTATCCTATTGTCCATTTTGTTCTGCATACATTTAAATTCCCTAAAAGATGAGAATTTTGTAAGAGAAACACGTAACTCTTGCTTTGTTAGTGGCTCATGGTTCACCTGCTTTTCTGAATCTGATGTTCCTGACCAGACCATTTTGAATGTTATGAAGTGTAAAAGCAAACAGAGTTGTATTTGCTTTCAAATAATCTGACTCTAGTGCCTGGCCCCATCAGTAAGGGGCCAGGCTTTGCATTTTGCTTTGCATTTTCCATTTAGGTCTCACAGCATTGTTGAGATCAGGAAATGGTGGTGGTGTTTTATAGGTGAGGCACAGAATTCTTAAGAATCTTAACCAAACCTACAGATAGGTCAATGAGAGAGATAGGAGATGAAACTCAGAGCCCTAATTCCAAGGCTCATCTGTCATAATCTCATTTTAAATGTCTGCCATGTCAAAGCTGCGTATCTGCTCAAGGATTCTCTGGATCTAATCTAGAAGATTGTGTAATCTGTTTATGGCTTGTGATAAAATCTGAGGTATTCAAGGAATTTTTCATTATTCCTGTGGTCACATAAAAATTATTTCATTCCTACCTACTTCTATTTCCTAGCAAGTAGAGTAGTTCAGAAACTGGAGAGCCACCTCTGCTGTTAGCTCCTGGCTCAGTCTGCCTAGCCCGGACGTAGGCAGTTGCATAGAACAATGACATGTCTTGGGAGGAGGCCCCAGGTGGCACGTCATGCTAACTCTGATACCTCATGCTGTTGCAGGCAGAAAACTGGATCAGTGAGCGCATGCAGAAGCTGGAGGATCCTTCTGTACAAGACCCCAGCAATCTGCAGGACAAAATGAAGCTGCTGCAGAAACATCAGGTCTTTGAAGCAGAGATTCTAGCAAATGAAGAGATCATCACAGCTGTTACTGAGGTAACTTTCTTGCTCTGGTACCAATTTTACAGATTATTGCTAGTTATCCAAAGAAGGACAGATAGATGGAATGAAAAGGAAAAGTAGCTTGTTCACCACTTCTGGATCCAGTATCTTACATGTGTGACAAGAATCCAGTTGCTATGTCATGGAAATTTTAAATCACAATAGAGAGATTTGTTAATTGCTTTATCCAGAGAGCTTCCATCTTTTCTTATTGCTCAAATAGAAAGACATCATTGACTTCTTCCTTGCCTGAGGTGATTACTCCTACAAAAGGTAAATAGGATTTCATGCCCAATTTGTGAACATTCTTGTTGAAACTGAGTGAATCACTTAGCTGAAGGGTGCAATCATCTGTAATACCTCTCTTGGTGCTCCCATTCCATTAATGTCATTCTTGGCAGGGAAATATTCATATTCTCATGTTCTTGATTCCTGCCAGATGTAAAAGGTTTCCAGCTAAGCAGTATCATTTGGGCAGTAAGAATTTGTATTAGTAATCTATTGTATAGTAGCCCAGGTTAGGAAAGTAAGAGAGGTCGTGTAACATGGTAATCATATTAAAAATTACCAGCAACCTTAACTTCTAATTTCTTCTTTTGAATGTGAAGAAAGGAGAAGCCCTGGTATCAAAAGGCCACCCAAAGTCAGGAGAGATCCGTCGCCGAGTTCACGTGCTTCAGGAGCTTTGGGAGAAGTTGAAGAGAGCTGTTGCTTCCCGTGGAAAGATGCTGGAGGACAGCCGGGACTTCCTGGAATTTCTTCAGAAGGTAGACCAGGTGGAAGCCTGGATCAGGGAGAAGGTAAATGGATTCTAGTATTTAACACAAGCAGCACACTAGAGACTTGCTATTTAGCAACCAACTTCTAATAAATGGGTTATCTTCCACTGGAACAGGTTGCCCAGAGAATTTGTGGATGCTCCATCCCTGGAAGTGTTCAAGGCCAGGCTGGATGGGGCTTTGAGGAATCTGGTCTAGTGGGAGGTGTCCCTGCCTATGGCAGGGGGATTGGAACTAGATGATCTTTAAGGTCACTCCTAACCCAAACCGTTCTATGATTCCAAGGAAATTTCTTAGTGGCTTTGCCTGGAAGAATCATGGCATGTTCTACAAACAATATGGCAGGAATGATTCAACAAATTCTCAAAATTTTATGGAGCATTTCCATGCCAGAATCAGTTGGACAGTATTAGCACATGTTCTCATGTAAAATATGCACATGAAGAGTGCATATTTTACATGATTATTGGTGGTCATCTTGTGTGTCTATTGAGACAGAGAAATGAAAGCAGACTAGAATGGAAGAGACTTGAAGCATTTGGCGACAAGCACTCACTGTCATTGTGTATCAAATCTGAAAGTTTCTTTTTGTAAGAGTGAAGGAAGAGTCACTGGACCTGCTAGGTTTTCATTAGAAGTTCTTTCCATAATCTCTAATAGATTGCAGATGGAGTTGGGACTAAGTCTCATAATTATCTAAAGATCAGAAGAGACTACTTCAGAAATTGTGTCAGTGATTTACAGACACATCACAGAACTGACTGCGTAAGCATTGGGACATGCTGTGTTCTTGTACCCTTAGCCTGAATGTTTGCCTGTTTGCTGCTTATTTCCTCAGGAAGTCATGATCAATGTAGGTGATCTGGGAAATGACTATGAACACTGCCTGCAGCTCGTGAAAAAGCTGAATGAGTTCCGTGGAGCAACATCAGGGGTAAGAGGTGTTTTCCATACACGTGCATTATGTAGCTGGAAGCAGCAGTTACCTTTTCAGTCCAGCGATAAATCCAGGTAGGAAATACACTTCCAGTAACCTGAGGAGGTAAAAGATCGTGGAGGTAGGAAGCATTACCACTTTATAGGCCATTAAAATAGTTAGAATTTTCCCTCATTGTGCCTTCTGCTTTGGTGATGTCTAAGCAGAGCTGTCAGGCACTCATGATGCAATCTAAAACTTTTGATTGCATTACATGACTGAAAAGGTGGCTGTATGAGCCTGAATTTGAGCAAATTTCCAATATGGTTCATGCAGTCTGCAAGTCACAGTGAGTTCCGTCCAAAAGTGGATTAAAAATGGTTGTTTCAGCCATGTTTGTTTGAATCAGAAAGATGGTCTAGACATTCCATGAACAAGACCATAAAAAAAACAAATGGACCACTCTTCCATTTTGCTCCTTTCCCTCTCTTCCCCTCTTGAGGAACAGTCAAGTTTCTCATATTTCTTCATCCAAATGAAGTACATATAAGTGGGGGACTTTGTTTATACAGCACACGTGGTAGGTCATGAAATGTAACGTTAATAGTCAGACGTAGTAAAACAGAGCAAACGGTTTACACTTGGGATAGCAGCCGTGTGACAAGACAGCTGCACGGTTCACCCTTCTGTGCCAAGGTCTGTGACACTCTTCCGTGGTGCTGAGTCACGCCAGCTGCCTCTCCTGTCCCAGTGAGACGTGCTAACTCGGGCACCAAACCTTGGGCATGCTGGGGAGCAGGCCCTGCCACAGCAAGGGCCTCCTCGTGGTGTGCTTCAGCTCCCACCCTGAGAGCTGTGAGGCCAGGCATTGAGGGGATGCATTTGCAGCAGCCCCTTGTTCTCTCTGTTCCTGTCAGCTACTGCAGATGTGGACTAACAGGTCTGAGTGTCAGGCAGGCATTGATCATTGGTTTGCGAGTCTGGAAGCTGCGAGGAAGTCTGGAAAGAGGTATATTGGGACTTTGTGAGTGAGGCTTACTCTAATGTTCTCTCCTGGTTGTCTTTATCCTTTGTTTGCCTGTGACTTTGTTGCTAGTTCCTGTTAGGGAAGCTCCTATCTTCTGTTTCTGTTGCCTAATAGCAGAAGGAAGCAATCCTCTTCTGTGCAAAGTAACGGTATAGATATGCCTGACACCTGGTAGAAACCCCTGGGCTTCCCCTCACAGAATGTCCTGTGACAGTGCATGTGTACTGGATTTGGGTAGAGACCTGAAATACTCAAGCTTCTGCACCAGGGAATTAGTGAAGGGACCTTCATTGTCCCTTCAGCCCTCACCAGCTGAACTGTGAACTGAAGGATGGAGCAAGGACTCTGCTACAGGTTGTACCAGGCCAAAGGAGGATAGTGAAAGAGACAGAAACTACAACCCAGTGTCCCAGTCAGCATAAGGTAGATTTTATGTGTCACAGGAAACTCTTGGCCTTAGAAACTATCAGCTTGTAGCCACTGATACAGCACTTTGTAGGTGATACAAACAGTGGCAGGTTGGGCCAGGTGTCCATCCCATCTAGGTTTCCCCACTAGAGAAATCTGAGATCAGGGTAGGGAAGCAATCGTCCTGCATTGATGGCCACCAGATTTTCTACTCGTATTCTGTCACATTATGCTGCTATTATCTCCCAGGAGAGGAGACTGCAGGGTTTCTGAAGAAAGGGAGGTTGTGGAGTCCCCTTCCTTGGAGATTTTCAAGACCTGCCTGGATGCAGTCCTGAGTAACATGCTCTAGCTCTAGGCAATCCTGCTTCAGCAGGGGAGTTGGACTAGATGATCTCTATGGTCCCTTCCAACTCTAAAATTCAGTGAAATTCAGTGAAATTCAATGAAATATCTGTCTGTCTGCTGGTTTCTCTTGTTTACTTTATGGCTGTGTATAATAGTAAAGCACACATGGATGCATGCACAGACTGGTATGGATATACCATAAAAATAAATACAAATGGAGTCAATACTTCTATTAACAGTGTGCTGGCATCTTGCAGCTGTGCTTCTACTACACCAGTGATTAATGTCTCTCCACTAGGCTTGTGATTTACTGGTCTTAGGAAAACAGACCATGTTTTTTCAATCTTGGAGCAGTGTTCAGTGCTGGCCATCTGTCATACTCAAAAAGAACAATTATTCCACTGTAGTCCAGATTACATGTGCAATGTGCAAATATTATACTTTCTATGGTATGTACATAGGAAGCAAGTTGCCTTGAAGGCTTAGCATACCTTTTAAAATGCAGTGGTGATGCCTTAGAAGAAAAGCAATGGCATGGGTTGTCTGGGTTTCTCAAGGCTTTTATGGATTTTAAGTCTGGTGTCCACAGGGCAGAAGTTACAGCCGGACAGAGGCCTGTCTTGAAAAAACAAGCCAGTAGTCACTGTCTGTCTGACAGAGGAACAACCTGCCACACACCAGCTGTTCCACAGCAGCCACCAGTGTAATCAGCAACTGCACCTATGTTTCTTCAACAAATGAGCCCCTGCTGGAGTGCCTGGCTTAGAAATGAAGCTCTGAGGGTTCTTGTCTAGACCTAGATCATTGTTGTATCTGTAGTCATTAAAGTCCTTTCTTGCCTTTACTGTCTTCTCATCGGGGCCTTATAACACCAGCAGCTGTAGCAGGGCAAACCCCACTTGTCTGAAATGTTTGGTAGTGAGGTAAAACTCTTGCTTGTTGCTGTTACTGTAATTTTTCCTGTCTCAGTGGAAAACTCAGTGAGGAGCGTTTCAAACACATACCTTTTTTCCTTTTCTCACTTTACAGGAGATGACAGTGGATGATGCTCACATCAGGGCTATCAATGCCCTGGCCGTGAAACTGGAGAGACAGAACAAGGAAGAAACAAAGACAATATATGAGCGCCGCAAGCAGCTCAACGAGAAGTGAGTATGCTTTTAAAGCTTCTGTGTAAAGCAAAAACAGGAAGGGAATATTAGGTGTCTTGGGCTGGGATAAGACATACATTTTCTT